TGCCCACCCCGCACGGCGAGCTGCACCCACTCCATGGTCCCCAGGGCCCTACCGCACAGCCCACCGCTGCCAGGGACCAGGCAGAAAGGAGGGAAGAGAGGTTCAACCATGGAATCACAGAATCACAGAATTTTTTGGGTTGGTAGGGACCTTTCAAGGCCATCTAGTCCAACCCCCTACAGTGAGCAGGGACATCTTCAACCAGATCAGGTTGCTCAGAGCCCCGTCCAGCCTGGCCTTGAATGTTTCCAGGGATGGGGCTTCTACCACCTCTCTGGGCAACCTGGGAAAGTGTCTCACCACCCTCAGCGTCAAAAGTTTCTTCCTTACATCTAGTCTGAATCAACCCTCTTCTAGTTTAAAATCATCACCCCTTGTCATAGTGCTACAGGCTCTGATAAAATTCTGTCCCCATCATTCTTACAGTCCCGCTTTAAGTGTTGAAAGGCTACAATAAGGTCTCCTCAGAGCCTTCTCTTCTCCAGGCTGAAGCACCCCAAATGGCACCGAGGATGGAGGGAGGAGAGCAGGGGAGATGCAGCACAGGGGAGTGGAGAGGTGAGGCAGGAGAAGGGGCACGGTGACTGGGTGTCCTCTCTCCCCAGACCCCCAGCAGAGGCTGTCCTGCATTGTACATGGTTCCCACAGGCCTTTATCCCCACGCTGCTGCCACCGCTCTGCATCGTGCTGAGCTGGGACCCCGCTAATCTCCTCGGAGATTAGGGAGGGCTGACTGCTGCAATTGTCCTGGGGGCTGTGGCTGGCGCCTGCCTGGGGTCTGGGTCCCCAGGGTGGGCTGTCTCTGTGCCTCCCAAGCCCAGGCTGTTTGTCACCCCTGTCCCCAGTTCCCATGTCCCTGTGCAAGGCACCGCCAGCAGCAGTGGCAATGCTGGGGCACAGGTCCCACACTGACAGCTCCAAGGCTTGCAACGACAGCACCACCACCATCCTGTCATTCTCAGCTGCAGACCAGCAGCCTCCCCTGTGGGCTTTTACTACACAGGCAGCAGCCAGACATTCAGCATGGAAAAAAGCAGAAAATCGGGATACTGCTCCTAATCCAGCCCAGCTGGCATCCCCAGACACAACCCGTTACCACTCAGAGTACGGAGCTAACAGCAAGCGCCTGCCACCAAAAGCAGCAGCCCAGGCTGGTGCCCCCAGCCCCAAGGCTTTCCCCTCTCAGCATGGGGTCCAGCTGGTGCCACCCCCCACTCACCAGCGTGGCGGCACGCGGCATGGTAGTCCTCGCAGCAGTCGCCCGTCCTCTCGCAGTACGAGTCGCAGTAGCAGCGAGCCCGGCGGGCACCCGGGGCCCAGCAGGCGTTGTTCCTGCCTGGGCAGCACTGGTGCCAGCAGCTGCCCATGGCACCCACCAGGTAGCCAGTGGCCAGCAGCCAGCCCCCGCAGAGCAGCAGGCTCCACATGGCATCAGGTCCCCACAAACCACTGAGTGACAGTTTTAACCCCGCACCAGTGAGCACTGGGCCAGCAGCAAGGGCCGGAGCCCCGGCCGCACCGCCCCTGGGCTGGGCGGGGGGACAAAGCCCGTTCCCTTCTGCTCCACCGACCCTCACTGTCCTGGCTCTTCGTTCTGCAGCCAGGGTGAGGAATTAATAAAATTAACCAGGATGGTTAATAAAATGCCCTGCATGGGACAATGCAACCCTGGATCTGGCCGGGAGCAGCTGTGAAGGGGTTCTGCTGGGTTGAACCCCAAAGCCCCAGCGGGACTGGGACACAACAGGGGACCCCATCCCCAATCCCCACCCGCAGTGCAGGAGCCACTCACCGCCCACTCAGCATGGCCCGGACACCAACACAGCTGCTAAAGCCAGACTGATTTTATTCAAACGGCGAATGTAAAACAGAATAATAATAATAATAAAAAAAACCCAACAACCAACCCAACCCTCGCTGGCTTAAGAGCAGAAAACCGCAGGTAAACCACACCCAGGCTTTCCTTCTCCTCCTTCATCCTCCCATGTTAAGGCTGCGTTCATCAGTGGTGACAGGAGGGAGGAGAGACAGGGCAACCCCAGCTCCCGTGACCCTCCGGCTCCTTTGTGGGAAGTTTGGCACAAATCTGGCAGGGCCAAGCCTGGCACATGGCAGGGCAGGGCTCCAGCCCCACAGCCACGGGGGTTAGTGGGTCAGCATGAGGCTGCAAAAGCTACGGGGTTACCTACGGGGCTGCAGCGAGGTAAGGGCAGATGGGGGGAATGTGGCAGAAGAGGGGGGTTCGCACCCCCGGCTGAGGGGCCGAGTCTGCGGCGCAGGGCTGCGCCTCCCGCCCCAGCTCGCACGCGCGTCTCGACTGGCGCATCTCGACTGTAAATGGCAAGAGACGGGGGCACCCAGCTCGCCCCAATCCTGGCCCTGTGCTGAGGAGAACTAAAGGCCTGGCTGTATGTGCAATTTTGGGCAGCGCCTGCTCAGCAGCCTGGGTGCTGGATGCTGCACCCTGAGGGGTCTCAGTGCTGGCAGGGAGGAGGGAGCCTGGGGCCGTGCCAGTGGGTCACTGACCTCCTGTCTCAGGGGGTGCAGGGCTGGTGGTCCCCCCTGGGAGCTGCTGCCTCACTCCCAGTTGGCAGTGTCAGCCCCAAGAGCCTCCGCCCGC